CGCCAATTTGTATTCAATAAAATGAATATTTTAACAATAAAACATTTTTTTATAAAATTATTCATATTAAACAATTAAAATAATATTTCATGTAAATAAATATCATAAATAATAGTTATTAATATTCATATTTATATATATATATATATACATTGAATTTGAATCTATTTCTAAATATTTTATATTAAACAATGCCAATATGCAATTAAATATTTATACAAAAATTTAAACTTATATTAATAAATATAAATGCAAGGAAATAAATTATAAACTGAAAAATTTAAATGAAAAAATTTTATTATTTAATATTAATTCGAAAAATTCCTTTTTGTTCATTTAAAGAGCAAATTATTAGAAAAAAATTTAATTACCAAATAAACAAATTTAATTTTTTTTTTTTCAAATATACAAATTTTTATAAAATATTAATTATAAAAAAAATATATACACTTATATAAATTTTCTTTAATATTTTTTTAAATTCTACAAAATTAAATCATTTTTCCACTTTTTAAGAAAAAAAAATATTGCTTTAAACCCCTATTATGATGAAACACATAACAACGGTACAAATATTATATTTAAAAAAAAAAATATTTCCAAAGATGAAAATTCATTAAAAATAAATATACCACATCCATTTTTTTAGTATTTTTTTAAAAAAAAAAAGTATTTTCATTTTTTTCTAAAATACAAAATTTAGATTTTAAATTTTTAAATAAATTTACAAAGAATATTTTGAATCTAAAAAATTCATAACAACGTCGAAATGATTTTCCAAATAACATAAAAAAATTTGTTTAAATTATAAATATTAAAAATATTTTCTTCATTTTAATTTTACTAATCCATTAATATTTTTTTTTAAAATTTTTAGGCAATCGTGAATTAGGTTATATTAACAATATAGGTAATAAGAAATGAAAAGAATAAAAATCTCATATAATCATATTAAAATAATTTCTTTTGGCTAATACATTAACCTGATAATATATGTATAATTAATTTACTATTATGATATGGATATTATATAATCATCAATTTTTATATATATATTTATCATATATTGCTGCATTGTGAATTTAATTGTTTTTAAGAAGATTATTAACAATTTATGTTAAAATTACATATTTAAATTTAAAATTTCATTGTTTTATTGTGTTTTTCAAAATAAATTCATATATTTTTGCATTTCCTAAATTTCAGAAAATTTTAAATCAATTTAAATTAAAAAAAAACAATAATAAAAAAAAAATTTTATAAAATATTTTATAAGATATTTGAATATTGATTATAATTTTATTCATATATAAAAATTTTTTTCAAAAAAATACTTAATTTTCCAATAAATATGTCAAATAAAATTTTTCTTAAATTAAATGACTGACATAAAATTACATTTTCATATATAAGAATATATATTTTTAAAATGTTAACATAAATTGCAAAATTAGTATTTATTTATAATTTAAAAGGAAAATTTAAAAAAAACTACTAAATATAAATATATATATGTTTTATATAAAATATATTATATTTTTTTTAATTTATACAAATAGACTTTTGTAGAATTATTTTATATTTTTGTTGAGAATGACCAATATTTTAAATTTTATAAAGCAAAAAAAAAAAAGAAAATAAATGTCATTATTATTTTAGTTATATGAGAATATTTTTCAAACAATAATTTTGTTTTAGAAATCTTGTTTTTGTTAAATTTTTTTTTAATTTTTTAAAAAAATTTCTTTTTTAAAATTTTTTTATTTAAAAATTTTCTGAATTATAAATTTAAAAGAAAAAATGTAGATTGAAATGAAAATTTGCCAAGTTTTTAAAATGAAATTCTATAAATATAAAAAAAAAAAAAAATTTTTAAATTAATTTTGTATTTTTAACCTTCCAAAATAAATAAATTTTTAAAAAAATAAAACTCAAAAGTTTTAAATATTTTTTTCATATATTTTTTTTGTATTTTACTACTACATATTCATTGAATTCATATAATTTTTATGGATAAAAATTTGTAAAGAAATAAATTTTGTCATCTTTTTTTCATGTTTTTGATTTTTCATAATTTTATTGTTTTAAAAAGTGTAAAATGCAAAAATTCAAAAACTTTTTTTTTAAATATTTAAATAAAAATTTGTAACAAACATTTAAAAATTTGGTAAAAGATAAAAAAATTAAATTATGAGGAAAATTGTTTTCTTTATTAATTCAAAGTATTCATTTTGATTACTAATTTTTTAAATTTATTTATCTTTACTAATAATCACCTAACATTTTCTACAATAATTTATCATCAAAAAATGTTTATAAAATAAAACATTAAAAATATATATTGTCATTAAATATTAATAATTTATTGTTATAGGACATAAAAAAATATATTTGCCTGATACTTGGAGTTTTAAAGTTAATATTAATTGTTTTTAAAGGATGAATTTCAAATCAAAGAAAAAAAAAATCTACTCGTAAATTAATTGGTTAAAACAAATTCCAAAATTATTTTTTCCAAAAATGTTAAATTTTCTTTTATTTTTCTTAAATTTAAAAAAAAAAATAAGAAGATAGAATAACATATAGAAAATTATCAATTTGAATTTTCAGAAAATTCATAATTTTTGATCACCATTTTCTAAATTTTGGTAAAAGAATTGTCATTTTTGAATCAGAAAATGAACAAGTGTTTTTTGAGATTTAGAATTTCAAAACATAGGCATTTTGTTAATTTTGGTTTGTTTATTTTCAATGAAAAAAAAGTCAAGCAATATCTCAAAATTATCTGAAAACATTATAAATCTTTTACTTATATAAATGATAAATTTCTCAAAAAATTTCTATCTTTAAAGGATAAATGTATAATAAATATTTTGATCATTGGGATTAAATTGTTTCTGTTTTCCTTTTGGTGATACTTTCCTAAATATATTTTCTTTAAACCAATGATCCAAAAAACAATAAAAATTTGAAGGAAATTTGAAATTGAATAAATTTTTTGTATTATTCAAAAAAGATCAATCTTTTTCAATAATTTTTTTTTTATAACTTCTTCATTTTAATCAAAGATTTCTTTTACCATAAATTTTTCCTAAAAATTATAGACATTATTTTTCAAAAAGTTTTTTTGGAACAGAAATGAAAATAAATTTGTCTTTGGAAGAATTTCTTCTAAAAATCAAAAGTTCAAAATTCAATTTTTTTTATTTCTCAAATTTTTTTATTTTTTTTCAATTGACTTTTTTTAAATTTAAATAAATAATAATTAAATAATTTCATTAAAATTTAATTAATATATATTTAAAATTCTTTTATTTATAATTAATTAATATTGTTTTCCACATATTTGGCATAGATGCCCATTATTCAAAAAATGTCCTTTATATTTAAAATTTTTATTTTTATAATTTAATTTTTTTTTTAAATAATTTATTCAATAAAACAAAATAGATTTCTTTTCATTCAAAAAAAAATTTTCAGAATAAAAAAACAACGGTTGAAAAAATTGAAAATTTTTGGGGTGAAGATTACAAATTAAAAATTTAGCAAAAACTATTTCCACTTTTTTTTTTGATAGAAATTAACAAACGTTTTATTAAATTATGGTTTAATTGTAAAATAAAACAAATGTTGAAAAAGAAATTAAAAAATAAGGTTCCAATAAAGAACTGTTGATTTTGTTGAAAAACAAGCAAAAATTTTTAAGAAAAAAAGCATAAAGATGTAAAATTAAATCATTGTTATTTCAAAAAAAATTATGAAATTTTTTCAATTTTATTCTAACCATTTAAATAGAATAAAGTATATCGTTATCATTTTTTGTCTTATTAAAAACCTGCAAATTTAGCTTCATTTATTTTTCAGGTAACTAATATTTAAAAATTTCAAATTTTTTCAGACAAATGTTGGAAAAGATGCAAAATGAAAAAAAATCCATCAAACAAGACAGGAATGAATTTAGAGATTTTTTAAATTCTACTTCAATTTTGACTGAATTCCATTTTGTTTCATTGTCTTTAAGTATTAGAAGATTATATATATTTGAAAAAAATGCATTGGCTGAATTAAGGAAAATTAATCGAACTAGGTGAATTTAAAAGGAAAATTGCAGATATGTTTTGAGATTACATTTAATTGATTAAAAAATAAAACACAAACTAGAAAGGAAATTAAAAATACTATATATATATACAGATCATATTATTTTTACAACCATATATGAATATATACATATATATATATCAATAATAATAATATATATATTGTTTTAGAAGAATATACTTTTATTTATTTTTTTTATATATATAATAAATATAATAGTATTCCTTTTAATGAAATTTATTTTGCAAATAAAATTAGACAGACAAGAAATTGTCTGTTCACATTAAGATTGGAAACAATCTTTAAATTTAATTTTAAGTTTTAATTATATAAAAAAAAAAACCATGATTTTTAAACAAAATTTCTCAAACACATATATGTTTATAAATTTGACATATATATATATATATATATTATAAAATATATATATACATACCAACGTCAAAACAATTTTGGTATTCTTTTTTTTTTAAATGTATATATAAAAATTATATATTTATATACATTTATATATGATTTTTAAACATATATATATATATCAATATAATACATTTGCCTTATAAAAATAAATATAAGAATTTTTGAGCGCGCATATAAAAAAATGCCAGCCATATATATATATATATACATATGCTTTTTTCTGTATAAATAATATATATATATATATATGAATATGTTTTTCTCTATAAATGTTTTTTTTTTGAAAAAATACATCTTTATATACACATATACATAACATTTTACCGCGTTAATTTTAACATTTTCATTTCATCTTATATTCACCCAGGAATAACGGCTCTCAATAGACCCCACCCTACTTTTCTTTAATTATCTTGTCTATACCTAAATGGGTGACCATCAGGTTCTGTAAGCTGGGATAGGCGGGTGAGGTAATGGGCTTACGGCCACATCACGTTGAAATACCGGTTCTCGTACGAACACCGAGGTTAAGCACCATCAAGCCTGGTCAGTACCTAGATGGCTGACCACTTACGAATATCAGGTGCTGTAAGCTTGAATGGGCGGAGTGGTAATGGGCTTACGGCTACATCACGTTGCAATACCGGTTCTCGTAAGAACATTAAAGTTAAGCATCATCAAGCCTGGTCAGTACCTAGATGGGTGACCACTTACGAATATCAGGTGCTGTAAGCTTGAATGGGCGGAGAGGTAATGGGCTTACGGCTACATCACGTTGCAATACCGGTTCTCGTACGAACACCGAAGTTAAGCATCATCAAGCCTGGTCAGTACCTAGATGGGTGACCACTTGCGAATATCAGGTGCTGTAAGCTTGAATGGGCGGAGTGGTAATGGGCTTACGGCTACATGACGTTGAAATACCGGTTCTCGTACGAACACCGAGGTTAAGCACCATCAAGCCTGGTCAGTACCTAGATGGGCGACCACTTACGAATATCAGGTGCTGTGAGCTGGGATAGGCGGGTGAGGTAATGGTCTTACAGACACATCACGTTGAAATACCGGTTCTCGTACGAACACCAAAGTTAAGCAACAGCCCTCTCTCCTCATTATGTACCCTAGAAATTTCAACTGTCCCTTCCTGATGTTAAGTATAATTGTTCCTATTTTTCTCTAAACCTTCGTCATGACTCACATGTTCGGTCCATGGTATTCTCAGCATCCTTCTGTAGAACCATATTTCTGTTGCTTCATCTGTGAGGACATTGTCCAACGTTCACTGCCATATAGGGAGACTGATATAACATTTCAGCTCCTTTTGTTTGTTTCTAATGAATTTTCCCTGTTTCTTAATACTTTGCTTAGCTTTTCGAAAGTATCTTTCGCTGCCCCATTGTGCGCTCGGATTAAAACACTTCTACAGATATTTAAATTGTTATACTTGTTTCATTTTGGTATCTCCAATTTGTAATTTGCATGTTGGGCTCTTCCTTTTGCTAACAGCCATGCATTCCGTATTCTTGCAAATGAGGTTTAGTCGTTTCTTTTCGCTTTCTTTCACGACCTTCTGTAGGTGTTCTTGCAATTTTCTTCCTGTATCTGTTATCAACACCGGTTCCATCTGCATAGCTTACGTTATTAAGATAGTGGTAGCCAATAATAACTCCTGGTAGAGCGACAAACGAGAGGAAATTGTGGAGAGTCCATAATCACCAACGTCCTGAAGAGACATAAAAGAAGAAGAAGAAGAAGAAGAAGGGGAGAAAAAGAAGAGAAAAGGAAGAAGAATGGGAAGGGGAGAGGAAGAAGAAGTGCAGGAGAGGGAGGAGAACAACAAGACGGGGAGAAGAAGAAGAGAAAAGGAAGATGAAGAAGAAGGGAAGGGGAGAAGAAAAAGTAAGGGAGGGGAGAAAAACAAGAAGAAGAAGAAGGGGAGAAAAAGAAGAAGAAGGGAAAAGGAAGAAGAAGAAACAGCAGAAGGGGAGGAGGAGAAGAAGGGGTTTATTAGGGGGAGGAGAACAAGAAGAAGAAGAAGAAGAAAAAGAAGGGCAGGAGAAAAGAACAACAAGGGCAGAAGAAGAAGAAGGAGGAGAAAAAGAAGAAGAGGAAGGGGATCAGAAGAAGAAGAAGGAGAGGGGGAGCAGAAGTAGTAAGGGAAGGGGAGGAGGAAAAGAAGAAGAAGAAGAAAAAGAGAAAAGGAAGAAGAAGAAGAAGAAGAAGAGGAGGAGGAGGAGGAGAAGAAAAAGAAGAAGGAAAAGGAGGACAAGCAGAAGAAGGGAGAAGAAGAAGAAGGGGACGAAGAAGAAGGGGAGGAGAAAAAGAAGAAAAGAGGAAGGGGAGCAGAAGAAGAAGAAGGGGAGGGGGAGAAGAAGAAGAAGAAGACGAAGAAGGGAAGAAGAAGAAGAGAAGAAGAAGAAGAGGAGGAGAAAAAGAAGAAGAAAAAGGTGGGGAGAAGAAGGTGATCTCTTGTTGGAAGAGGAGAAGACCTTGAATTTAAAAATGAAGAAAAAAGAAATCATTTTAATCCCGGACAATCAGATCATATGACAGCTGCTTTAATAAATAAGCATAAAAAACACCCCACGTTTTTAAATATTGTCTTTGTTCTGTGGCAACACTGGACAGGTTTCAGGTTTGGGAAGAGAATTATTTGCGTCACATCGAGCGGGCTCTTTAATTAGCTCGAACCAACAACATGATTTGGGACAAACAATGCTGAACTGTGACAAATGGTACGAAATATGATTGACGAAACTGCGTATCAAGTGGTTATATGGGGGAGGAGGGAATAAATTAATTTCCTCTCACAGTCTGTTCATATTTATTTGTATAACAACTTAACTATTTATCTCACCCTGTTTATTTCTTTTAACCATTTCACCACAAGCAAGGTCATAAAGCCACTAAGACGCAAGAAGGTAACTGAGTGTGAAAAAAAAAATCAGAAAAAACATTATTAAGGAGAGAGGAAAATAAAAGAAGAAGAATTAAGAAGACAGAAAATAACGATTGACATTGCATTTAAAGTTTTTCAAAATCAAAGACAATAAAGCCACTAAGACGCAAGAGGGTTACTGAATGTGAAAAAATGAGAAAAACATTATTAAGGAGAGAGAAGAATTAAGAAGACAGAAGATAACGATTGACATGGCATTTAAATTTTTATAAGATCAAACTACACAAGGGGTGAACAGTGTTAGTGAACATGGATAGGAAAAACACTATATATATATATATATATATATATATATATATATATTAAGGATACGTGTTATCTTTGGATAAAACATTTTTATTAAATCTCTGAGTGCACAAATGGTAGACGTAATTCACGCTATTTAAATAAACAAGGCGTCTGCCAAACATGGTATCTACCGCAAATTCTGGTATATTAAAAAAATATATATATATATATATATATATATATATATATATATATTTATATATATGCATAAAATATGAACAAATGGACAAGTAATACCCACTGGAATTATTAGAGATTTTTTTATGTTTAACTACTTTTTTATAGATATAGTTTTTAAAAAATAACTTTGTTTATAAAAACATAAAAAATTTGCCCCATTTGTCATGTATCGAAAAATTTTGATCGGAATAAATGTTAAATAAAATTGTTTATTATAGGACTCAAAACTTAAAAATGTATCTATAAAAAGAACGTTAATTGAATAAACTGTTATATATATATATATATATATATATATATATATATATATATATATAAATATATAAAACCTAGCTGCCAATATAGTACTATATATAATATATATATATATATATATATATATATATATATATAGATACACTTAAACTTTATTTTTATTGGATAGAAAATTCACAAGTAAATCTCTGTTTCTTTATTTAAACATTTGTTTTCTTGCCAGGTCCACGACCAATAAAATATTCGAGAAATCCTGTTAGAGAAAAATAGACGCTAAACATATAACGTTTGGATTAATAATAAAAAAATACCCCAAAATTTACACAACACACACACACACATATATATTATTTTATCACACACACACAAATTATATATATATATATATATATATATATATATATACAAATATCCACTTTGATTCTGGTTATATCTAATTTTTTTTTATTTATATATATATATATATATATATATATATATATATATATATATATATATATATAATAAAATAAGAAACTGTTTTTGGTATATTTAATTAATAAGAAACCAATATCAATTTTTGTGGAAGAAATGAAAATGCAAACATTTTGTTTCTTACTTTGATTCGACAGCTTACTTTTGGCCTGACGATTGCATCTAGCATCTCTGTCTCTATCAGGCATGCAAAAACTTCAATGTTGTTTATATAAATATATAATTAATATATATATATATATATATATTTAATACATATATACGAAAATTAATCACAAAAGAGCTATATTTCGTTCTATCTTTCTTTTATATATAATCTGTTTCTGATTTCCTCCTGCATATATATATATAAGGAGATGGTAGTATGTCCAATAGTTTCGATTGAATTATAACAAAAACACAGTTTTGTCTTTGGGAAATAAAATTGATGCATTATATTAGGATTCGCTAGTTTTTTTTTTTACTCCCACCAAACCGGCGTTTGGAAAAACGAAACTGAAGTTAAAGATCAATCTAGGTCAAATATGGATGATAATTTTAAAAATAGGAAAAGTTTATCAATCAAACAAGTTTCTTTTTTATTTTCCATTTCGTCAGAGGTTCAGAAAACAGACAAAAATCTATCAGAATCTATCCAATTTGGATTGGTCGATTTTTACATCTTACTTATTATAAAACGCAAATAAAAAAATGTGTGTGTGTGTGTGTGTTTAAATACGTTTATATATTGGATCGGATTTTTACATTTTTCAACCGATTTCAACAAAACTTCACAGGACTCGTAAAATTACCTTGCGGTGGTTCTTTATAAAATGGGGAAAACACAATTGTTTTTTGCTTTGAAATCAATTTGAAAACACGATAAAACACGATTCTGTCGCCAGAATGAAAGGGGAATCTATCATATCGAGTTATACTTATTATAAACCCTGGTTGTTTTTTGTGTGTGTGTTGTGTGTTTATATTCAAATTTACATATGGGATTTTTTCCTACATTTTTCAAAAATTTTAACAAAACTTCACTTTTTTTGGCAGGTAGTGTTTCTTATTGTCTTTATCATCTAATTTTTTCTTTATTTTTATCATTCAGAATTTTTAAAATTCCATTTACAAGGCAATTGTTTATAATAAAATTTTATTCAATCGATAGACTTATAACGATTGAAAAACAATTTTTTTGTTTGAGTTTAAATTTGACAAAAATAAAAAAAAAAACTTTTAAGACATGCGTGTCAAATCATCTTTTTTCAACCATGGTCGATACTTAATTATTATATATTTTTTGTTTTAATATTTTTCTTAAATTCGACGTTTTCTCTATCTAGTATTATATAGAATACAGTTTAATGCAAGTGAATAAATGATGAAAAATCTATCCAAACAAAGTAAAAACCAAAGTGAATTAAAAAAATTTTTTTCTCAATTTTTCTGAAGATT